CACCCATGACTGCTGCGCCACACTATAGAAGTGGCTTCTATAGGGAGCAAAGGCCATTTTAGCATTGTAAGTCTACTATTGTGAGGGGACTTTAATAATCTTATACTGTGCAAAATAGACTCTTGTGAGCTTAAAGCCACGGTACAATGCTGTTAGCTCCTCAAGAACATACCTGGAGTTGTGTCTTTTTTTTTCTTTTTTGATTCAGTGAAGGTGTATGGAGTTTAAAAACACAGTGGAGCACTTCCTGTATTACCACATAACATCACAAGGTGGAACCAAGTGTTTTCCAAGAAGAAGAATTCAGCCTAAATACGCAGGGTTTGTGTGTGAATGAAACAAAACACAACTCTAGTTATAACTGTGATGAAAAAACAACGTCATAACAGAGTTCAGAAAACATGAATTATCACGAGATGACATCACGAGGTGGGGGCAACTGTTGTGAGCTCTCGAGTTGGGAACAGGCTAAATATGAAGAAGAAACAATCAGGAATGAATGAAACAAACCACAACTCCAGGTTTGTCAAATATAAGTCAAGTATATAATTTTATGCATCACAGGCGATATAGGACTTTGAAAACTGCAGGTTATAATCATCATTTTCAAGGTGATCATAATGACATTTTGTTCTCATAATAAGAAGAAATTCTACAATATATGTCCCTCTTAGCGTTTAGACAGCCCTTATTTTTATTGCTAAGCTTTCTTCCATGCCTGAATGTAAAATGAAATGCTTATTTTCCACTATTTATGTTTGCTATATTTCCCTGCAGGTACTGTATTTTTTTCTTCTGAGAAAGAGCCTTGTGCCGCCTTTGTAGCGTATTTGTCCTTTTAGCTCCATACCCCTCTGGTGATGAGTACCTACAGCGTTTCTCTCTCTCTTCCTCTCTCATTTTCTTTCTCTTCATTATCTCTCTTTCCTTCCCTCTCTCTCTTTCTCCCTCTCTGTCTAAAAAGGCCAGCACACACAATACAAACTGCTTCAGCTCTGCCTGTCAAACGTAGCAGCAGGTGCGATAAGAAGCGTTCCCCTTTTATGAATTAGAAGATACTGTAAAAAGGCTCACCGCAGGAGTAGAGCCATGTCAGATTAACCCTGATACATAATATTAACCTAATTCAGCACTAAACCGGCCTAAAACCAGCTCTGGGGCTATTCTGTGGTTAAGAAATGTAAATGGAAGAACAGGGTCTGAGCTTGCAGGGCTTGGTCAGGTCTGTTTTTGTGTTTTGGTGGTGCGTGACGACGGGTCTCGGCTGGTTTTGGCAAAGGTTCTGCTGCAGTGGACAGATGGACAGCTCTTCACAAATCTGCTTTTAACCTCAACTTGGAAAATGTCAATGTCATTTAAAGTCACGTCTCTCTGAAATATGCTGTTGAAAGAGTGTTGGTATGTGTAGACCTGGGAGGGTTTTGATGTTAAGGTTTATGGACCTAGACGATACAAACTTTTAGTCCATGCCATTTAACATAAAATGTTACTATACTTTAACATCAGCTTCCAAGATATCAGCCAATATCCAATTTTTGTCCATAAATTGGTGTACCATATTTTTTGGAATATAAGTTGTACCAGCCAAAAAATGCATAATGAAATGCGTAATGAAAAAGAAAAACATATAGTCGCAGTGGACTATAAGTTGCACTTTTTGGGAGAAATTTATTTTATAAAATCAGAGAACAGGAACTGACATTTCATCTTGAAAGGCAAGTTGTAGTAATAACAACAGAACAGGCTGTTAACATCACATATGAACAATTAGTCATATAACTATAACATAAACAACAGAACAGAACAAGTTTACCAAACTCTCCATCTCACTCCAAATCATTAAATCCATTGAATTCTTCATCCTCTGTGTCACTTCTGACTAACTCTGCAACCTCCAGAGGTAAATGGAGCACTGCTTCCTCTTCTGTGTAGCTGTCGTTAAATTCAGTATCAGTTCCAGTTAGAATTATTCCGGCCTTTCCGAATCCCGACAGGATGGTTTCGGTGTCACTGAAGTCCAGGCTTTGTCCATCCATCTAATAACTTCCAGGAAAGCTGCATGAGAGATGATTACTGTTTTCGGCTGCATGTTTTGCTTCAGCTTGTAATCTGCAAAATATGATTTCCTTTTGTGTTCAGTCTTCTCAGTTGTCTTTATAAGTTTGTTTAAATTTAAATTTTTCTGTGTTATGGAAGTAATGGTGCAATTGACTGACATGATACCAGACAGGACAATGGCTCTTTCTACAGGAGACATGCATAGTAAACACACCCAAACCTATAGCGCCCTCTCGCAGCTGTCAGTGTGAAAATTTTAAAGTCGCAGGACCAGCCAAACCATGGAAAAAAGTGCAAAGTCTGAAAAAATACGGTAATAAGGCAATTTACTAGCCAACGTTGCCCCAAAATGTCTCATAATGTTAAACATATATTTGAACAAAGCTGTTAATAAGAAAATACTACTGCTATACATGAACTACTGCTACTACAAAATAGTTATTTTACACTATCGTCTAAATATCTAAACTGACCAAAGCAACAGCAAGTTTTTCAACTTTTTTGAAAAAAGTTGAAACAAAAGTCAATTAACTTTATTATGAAGGCACTTTTCATACAAAGGCTGTGACTTTTGCTAGGTGGGCTCTTTCAATAATTACTACTATGACTACAGCTAGTACCACCGCAACTGTAACTATCCTTCTTCTAGGAACTTTTACTATCACCATTTGCTACTGCTATTCCAAATTTGCTACCACTTCAGTACCAGTGAAACTCCTGTTACTAATAATAGCTTTATCTAAAGTCTTTGGAGACGGTCTGTAAATGCTCTGTGCATAATAGCCTATTTCCTGACGTTAGCTCGCCCCTGCATTGTCCCTGCTTTGCATACTTGGTGCTTACAATTAGCCAAATGGGACTTGTATCTGTGTTCATCCTCTCAATTAGCTTGTAGCGGAAACACTGATTTCCCCAAAGGTCAAATTATTCCTCTGACATAGCGCCCCCTTTCATGGGTTGCCTCTTGTTTTAAGCTGGTCCCACGTAGCCGAGTCCACTTATTAAACATATTTTTATTGGACTAATAGGTCTGCAGTTCCAAGGCCAGGTTCTGATGTGCAGCCATTTGAATCCATTAGCCCCGGCTTCTGTGGTTTAGTGACTTGTTCAACAGTTTGGACATAATAAAAATGTCTGCCTTATTATCCAGGGAACAAGAGGAAGGTGACATTATGGTGTAGCACTGTGATCATTTTCATCGTTTTCAGTTTGAAGGTTTATCTAATTTTGTTTATAAAATGAAAGAAATCTACCTTCTCACTGGCAAACTAAAATCCAACCAAGTTAACATTACTCGAATTAAGAAAGTTTGATCATGATTTTAGTTAACTTCACTGGAATGAGACTTTATGTACTTAAAGTATGAACATACTTAAGAAAAACAACAAAGCACTTAAAATAACAAACAAAATCTAATGTTGGTTGAATTAAGTAACCACACTTTTTTATCATTTTACTTTTCAAGTTCAATCTACACAAATAAAGTAAACTATTCTTAAATTTAAAGTTATTTGAACTTACGTAGATATTGTTTACAGTTTCATAGTCACAGAATAAAGAATACACAAACAGGATCTGAAAGTGTGTGGTTTGATCCTTGTTACTTGTAAACTTTTTTTATTTTTAGACAATGTGTCCCTTTAGGAAGAGCTGCCCTGTGTAATAAGAGCCATTCTTCAATGTCACTGGGTGGACCTGACTCGGGGACCACAGAGACCTTTTCAGGATTTTGGGAAGGAATTTTAAATCAGCGGCTCTTATTTAGCTTCTTTGAGGTTGGTGAGGTTGGCCTTGACCGAACATCTCTACCCTCTCTCTCCACATTCCCAGCTGCAACTGACTTTTGCAAGGAAGGTTTTTTTAGGGTGCAACAAAATAACCCACAAAAACCCAGATGGGGGCAAGAATTAGAAACTTCACACACAAAGTTACTGGGCTTTGTTCAGAAATTATAGGTCTCACTTCTTTTGTAGAATAAATTGTCTAAATAAACAAAACATCTAGGCAGATACAGCATGGCCTCTAAACCATGAGAGTAAAACTTCAAACTCTATTTCAGTACTAAGATAGACGCAATACTAATTCCGATACTGCAATGATAGTAAAAAATTGGTTTTAGACTTGTTCTGATACAGCTCAAGATCATTCTAAAGCTATTCAGGAAAGGTTCATTTCTATCCTGTGAATGTGACTTGTTTAGTATCGATACCTGCTCAAACGAGCCTCTAGTTTCGATACTACCTGTAATTTTAGTTGAATCAATTAGTATCTGATTTTTGATACTTTCCACAAAAAGCACTTTCACCTACAAAAAAAATAAAAATAAATGCCATGGTTAAAATTGTGAGCTGAACCACTAAATGGATTTTATTATAAATTATGTTGAAATCTTGTCTTGTCTCGGGGGAATTGTATCTTATTCCATCCTTTCTTCGTAGGTACTTGATTTGTTGACACTATTTCAACTGCAGCCACAGCAAACACTGCAATATTTTGTTTATTTATTCATATAGTGATAGTTTGTATTTGTATGCAAGTCCCGGCTTATGATAATTTAATTGGTCTCTTTGAGTTTAGGTTAATTTCCTTGAGGTACTCTTATCCCCCTTTTCGACAACAAGATTAACTGCAGATTTATCCACCAGCTAGATACTCTTGAGCCTCTTGCTCAACATTTGGAGAAGTTTCCTGGGGGTTGTTTCTGACAGATTTTGAAAGTACAAAAATCGTTAGTTAGATAGTAAAACAAAACTGATATCTCTCCACTATATGAGTATATGATTCTCTCTATTCTGACAACCTTAGTCTATACAAAATTGCCCCACATGGTTCATCCATCAAACCACGGTCCTTGCTAACAATGATGTAACCATACAATCTAGACAAGCTCTATAGTTTGGACACAATTATAGTTACATGTCTCTCCTTTGTAATCTTCATAGGTCCAAGGAGCTGATCAAGGAAGCCATCAAGGACAATGACTTCATGAGCAACCTGGAGGCGTCTCAGATCCAGGAGATCGTGGACTGCATGTACCCGGTGGAGTACGCCAAGCACAGCCTCATCATCAAGGAGGGAGATGTGGGCTCTCTGGTCTACGTCCTGGCAGGTAAGACAACTCCAAAGATGTGATAAATGTTTGTGAATCCTGTTTTGTTTGAACGCACCCCCATAGGTCTAACTGCGAAAAGAAAGGGCATTTTTGATGAGATGATTGGACAGGTGAGAAAATGATGCGCGATGCTGCATTCGCTGACATCCTGTTGATTCCACTTGACGACAAAGTGAGCCCACAGAGAATTTGAGACGTGACTGAATTTTTTTTTTTTACTTCAAGGTGCATTGTGTAACTTTTCGGGTAGAGGGTCCATCAAATGCTTTTCTCCATGGACATGTTTTTTGTTTGTCTGGAATGTTTCACAGTATGATATTAAACCTTTCTATCTTCATGGAGACCAAACCAGACTTAGTTATAGGTCAGATTTATGGAGAGGCAACCTCACTCACAGTCAGAATGCCTGTTTTACTAGGTATTTTGAGCTATAAAACCACCTGTAACTGAATAAAAATAAGGTAGAGCTGTTTAATTTCATACTGTGGAACATTCCACAACAGATCAATGACATATTCATAGAAACAAGCTCACCCAGCGAAAAGTTACATAGCGTGCCTTTCAGCTTTGACTTACTGTGGATTTACTTGGTGTGAAAATATTCAGAGTATGAGCGAAGAAAACCAGAGTCAAAATTCACTGATCAAAGCAAATGAGGCTGAAAGACAACTTTTATGTAGCCAATACATTTGACCACAGTGACTCAGAGTTTCAAGTAATGCCTGTTAAATAACCTGGATCAATATAACAATATACTGCAGTTGAAGATCACTATGGGCTTTGATTGGGGTCACATACAAGTGCAAACCCCGAGGTATTATTATGTGGAACATGAAAGCGGTAGATGGCCCAACAGCGCAGATGCCAGGTTGGTGTTTGCAAGCTGAAGAAAACAGTTTAATCACGGACTGAAATGGGAGTTGGATAGGGGGATTGTTAGACCTGAAGCAATTAACAGACTCATCTATTTTAGTGTCATTGTTTCTTTGTCCATTGTTGTTTCAGAATGGCATGTTTTACATTTTTTATGGTTTTGAGTCTCCCTCTTGTAAAAAAGGTAGACAAAAATTGGTGCCCAAAACTCAAGCGACTTAATTACTTACATAATTGAAAATAAATTAAAAAGTAGTCTCTTAAAGCGCCCATATCACACTATTTTCTGATCTAGGTTATAATGTTGTTTCCTCATCAAATCATGCTTGGAGTTGTGTTTTGTTTCATTCACACAAACCCTGCACAGTTCGGCTGAGTTTTTCTCTGAAACAGAAAATTGCCCTTCTCTACTGAACAAAAGGAAGCTGTTAACTTGAAAACTACCACTTCATGACATCACAAGGTGGACTAGAGCATTTTGAGCTTGGGAGATGGAGACGACCTTTGTTATACCAAACAAAACACAACTCCGAGTATGTTTTTTTGAAGAGGTAACAACATTCTAACATGACTTAAAGCTCTCAAGAGTCCATTTTGCGAAATATAGAACTTTAAATAATGAGCAATTTACAAAACAAAGCTCATTACTTTTGATATATGTAACAGCCAAACTAATATAACTCATATAACTTTTTGTGAAACTTTCTGAGCACAGTTTTACAGTGTAGACGTTGTTTGTGCAGTGCCTCCATCCAAGCCTTAACTCAGAGTTGTTGTGATGTAGTGGTCAGTCAGCCACAGACTCCACATAAATCAGCCTTCAGCGCAGGCAGCTCATACTCCAGAGTTTTTGTCAAAGGTTGAACAATAAAAGGTGGCATTTAAAGGTTAATATTTTACAAGGAGCTGCTATTGATTGAGAGATTTGTCTCTAGTGGGCCACCGTTTTAGATTACGGACCCCGTGTGGCATTTCTGGTTCTATTGTGCCATTGCAACGTAGCTGGAAATTAAAGGTGCATTGTGTAACTTTTGTGGTGGAGGTTCCGTCAAATGCTTTTTTCCGTAGAGATGTTATTCCTTTGTTTGGAATGTTTCACAGTATGGCATTAAACCTTTATATCTTTATGGAGCCCAAACCAGACCATGTTACAGGTCAGATCTGTAGAGAGGCAAGACACTCACAGTCAGAATGTCTGTTTTTCAAGGTATTTTTGAGCTATAAAACTACCTGTAATTGAATAAATGTAGAGCTGTTTAATGTCATACTGTGGAACATTCCAGGCAATGACAGATCCATAGAAACAAGAAGGTGATGAATCAACTAAAAAGTTACATAGAGCACCTTTAAAATAGTTTCACTAATGTATGATGCAATGTTTACAGTACTTTTTACTGCTGCCAAACTTACTTCATAGTACTGATGGGACATCCTGTACTACAGATGTTGCAAAATAAAATTGCCTCAAGATAGTGCACATATGAGGAAAACTATCTTGTGAGATCTTTATTCCATGTTTATATTTGACTTGGATGATAAGAAAAGGGCTCAAAGCTGGCGAGTTATGTTTTGAGAACTGGTATTTCGAAAAAAGCATTTTACAATAACTGCAAAAAAATGAAATAAATAAACTGTGTGGCTAAAATTGTGAAGTGAACCGCAAAATTGATTTATTATAAATTATGCTGAATCTTGTTTTGTCTCGTCTGGGGGGAATTGTGTTTTATTCCATCCATTCTTCATAGGTACTATCTTGATTTGTTGACGCTATTATTTCAACTGTGGCCACAGCAAACCTTGCAATGTTTTGTTTATTTATTCATATAGTGATAGATTTGTATTTGTATGCAAGTCCCAGTATATGAGTTTAATTGGTCTCTGTGAGTTTAGGTTAATTACCTTGAGGGACTCTTATTTCCCTTATCAACAACTAGAATAACTGCAAATGTATCCACCAGCCAGGTACTCTCGAGCCTCTTATTCAACATCTGGAGAAGTTTCCTGGGTGTTGCTCCTTACAGATTTCAAAAGTACAAACCTCCTTAGTTACATTGCAAAAGAAAACTGGGTAACACTTTATAATAACTACACCTTATTTAGCCTTAATAAAGCATGAACAAAGGCTTAATTAATAACAAAGACTAAATTAATAATGATTCATGCTTAGTAACTACTTAATTACTACCTTAAATAGCACTTGCACTTAATTTGCCTGTGCTGTAAATACTTACTCATAATTATTTCATACTTAATTACTCGTGGACTAACCATTTGAGCATTTATTAATGATTAGTAAGCTATGAGACAATGATTTACTAATAATGCAAAGCAATGATAATTTAGGCAGCTGTTATCTGTTAGTTTAGTCTTTTTGAGAGCTTTTCTAAAGTGAAGAGGAATTATACTTTATTAAGCATTGACTAAGCATGAATCATCATTAATTAAATCTTTGTTTATTATTAATTAAGTCTTTGTTCATGCTTTATTAAGGCTAAGTAAGGTGTAGTTATTATAAAGTGTTACCGAAAACGGTTATCTCCCAAATGGACAAAAGATTGTGACTGTCTTAAAGGTGCACTGTGTAACTTTTCTGGTGAAGTGTCTGCCACCTGCTTGTCTCCTACTTGGACATGTTACTGTATTGCTTTGGTTATTTCACAGTACGGAAATAAAGTTGCTTATCACAATGGACATAAGTAATGGTCAGATCTATGGAGAAGCAAGCCTGCACACAATAAGAATTTGTGTTTTTCAAGGTATTTTTGAGCTATTAACTAAAAACTGTAATTAAATAAATTGTTTAATGCTATACTGTGGAACATTCCATGCAAAGAAATACCCTAGCAGACCTTCCACCTTAGATAATAATAATAAAAATAATATCTGCCTGAAGGAAGAAGTTAACTAAACTAATAAACTAACATGTATTTGTACTTTACTTAAGTAGACTTCCCAGTGGATAGTTTTTACTTTTACTTCACTACATTGATCTGTAATTTCTACTCCACTATATTTTTGAACAGAACTGAAAAGTAAAAGCATTTTTTTTATTTTTGTGTGAGACCTGCTGCAAATGCTGAGGGTTTATTTTTAACACGTTTATAATTTAAACGTAAAACACAAATAAATAAAACCAACTGGTTAAAAAACAACAACATAGATTCAGTTGTTTCTGTTGAACAAATTCAGCACAAATCTGTATCAAAATCACTACTTTTGAAGCTTTATTAGATTTCAAATTCTGTGCGAAATATGTTTACTTTTTACTCTTTAAGTACATTTTTAAATGGGTACTCTAATAGTCCAGTGAGATCGACGATGACGGCGCTGTCATCCTGCCTCCACCGGTAGGAAGACAGCGCCAAAACCTATATAAATCAGCTGACCGGACACATCACAGCAACATCACGTGATCACTCTGAGGAAGACCGCTAGTGAGCAGTCAAAACTGTCAGGTACGACAAACTCTTGGTCTGTAAAAAGAACCTAATAACATAAAATAGGGTACTCCAATACTTCTTCTACTACTTCTTCTTCTTGTTAAGTCCATTGAACTACCCTAAGGTGTGAACGGCCACCAAAGTCACATTTCGCATCATTGTTCATGCCCCTAATGAGTCATCTGCTCCTATGATTCCTCAGTGACATTACAAAATAACTCAAGCGTCATCCATCAAAACAAAACTGTTACTCCAAAATCTTTTTAATTTCACCTTTTACAAAACCAAACTGAGCTGCAAGTGTGACTAAACAACCAGGCAACTTTCAGTACTTGAACGACCGTGACTTGCCTTTCTCTGTAAAAAGCATGACGCAGTTTGGCTCATGTGGTTGGCGTGATGGGGCCAACTACTCTCTGGAGAATCTCCCCTCTGTCTGAATGCCAACACAAATGTTATAGCTGCATTCTGTCTTCATTTAGTGACTCACGGGCTTTAACTCCCCGCTCCCACTGCCCCGGATAAGAACTATGACTTAGGAGGTAATTATATTTAGGAGATGAGTCAGTCAGATCGATCAGTGTGTACCCGCCTGCATCTCTACTCCAGCTTTCTCCTGGGAATTGGTGCATGTTTTTATACAGAAGTCATGGATCACTGAAGCCACATGGAGAGATACGCCCT